GCCGTGGGCACGACCAGGCCATGCGGAATGGCTGTCGCCCTGGACTCCTTTCTTGGAGCCAAACATTAACAATCCAAAATGTAAGCTCTGACGTCGTGATGCCATGCACCCAGGCCCCAAATTTTAAGTGGATGGCGTGCTCCCGCGTGCTGTCGCATGCATTCTTCGGGGGAGGAGGGCCCAAACACGGGCCATGGAGACAGTAAAAAAACCCAAGATGGTCCAAGAGGTTTCCGAAGCGGCCCTTTGAGCGTCCCAAGACGTCAAAGACGGCATCACGACGGCCAAAGAGGCCCCCAGCGCGTCCCAAAAGGGCTTCAAGAGGACCTCGGGGAGGGCCCCGCGAGGCCAGAATCATGGCGATCCCAATGGTTTAAAGATCTCAGGGTTGTTCTCGCCTGTGCGGGCGTCTGGCGCTCCACGACGGCCAAAGAGGCCTTCAGCACCCAAGACGGCCCAAGAGGTCTCCAGGAGGGCCCCCCAGGCAGTCCAAGATGGCCCCAAGAGGGCCCAAGAAAGCTCCAAGAGAGGGAACACGGCCCGACATTTCGATCAAACCCCCTCCAAGAGGCCACCGAAAAGCCTCCCGATCGATCCCCACCGGTATCTGAAAGCCCTGTGGCCTACAACCCAGGCGCAGAGGCGGGATGTGCCACATGCGACTAGGTACGGCGCCCCCTGTGGCTTGCCACAGGGGTGCAGGGCGTGCTGGACGTTAGGTTGGCTGTCTTTTTTAAGCTCCCTGCTGGGTCTCGGCCGGTCGCGCCGGCCACCCAGGAGGACGCGCAGGGCGGGGAAAAAACTGAAAAACTCGCCTCCACGACTGCCAAGATGCTTCCAAGATGGTCTCCAAGAGGCCCCCAAGACGGCTCAGATGGCCCTAAGACGGCTCAAGATGGTCCCAAGAAGCCTCCGAGACGACCAATATGGCCCTAAGATGGCCCGAGATGCCACCCAGACAGCCCAAGAGGCCCGCAAGACGCCCTAAGAGAGCTCCAAGAGGATCTCCAGGAGGCCAGAATCATTGATTCACCTTGGGTTTTGCGATTCTTGTTCTGTTCTCGCTTTGCGGCCTTCCAACACTCCAAGACGGCCTCCTGGGCCCCAATATTGCCCCAAGACGCCCCCCAAATGGCCCCAAGACGGCCCCATAGACCTCCAAGACAGCCCTCAAACGCCCAAAGAGGGACCCACGACTGCTCAGATAGGACCCCAAGACAGCCTCCAAAGGCCAAGAGGATATCCCTAGAAGTTCCCCGGAGTCCCCGATAGGTTCCCAAGAACTCCCAAGAGGCCCTCAAGAGGCCCCTCAGAGGCCACAGAGAGGCTCCCAGGAAGCCCAAAAGAAGTCCCAAGACAGTCTCAAAAGGAATCCTCTTCTTTGTTTTTCTCCTCCCCCTCCTCCTCCTCCTTCTCCTCCCTTCCCTCTTCCTTCTCCTGCTCCTCCTCTTTTCTTTTCCTCTCCCAAGTGCTCCCCCAATGGGTTCCACAACGGATGGTGGGACACGTAGTCCAATAACTTGGCCAGACTTCGGCCCAAGCTTTGGCCACATGGGCATTTCGGACAGGCAGGAGGCGGCGGCGACTCGCCGTAGGCGTCTTCGATAAGATCGAGGCACGTCGGGAAGCGGGCAAGATCAGACAACATCGAATCGGGACATCGGGTCGGATCGGCATGCGCGTGTCTAATTGGGGCGCGTGGGCATGGAGTCGGAAACGGATCGGACCGGCCGCGCCAGGATGCACAGCACTGCCGCGCGAACATCGGGCCGCATCGGATCGTCGGAAAGTCTTAACCGACTCGGACCCGGCTGGCTGTACTTGACATCGGCTCAGGTCGACCTGATCAGCATGGACTCTGCACTGGACATCTGTGAACTTCCCTACGGTTCGGGGGAGGGGCGTCGGAGTAATCTAGTATGTCCCCGCAAGACTTCGATCCACACCTGCTTTCTCAAGGCGATAGAAGGCGTCACGTCCCTGATGGCTTTCACGGCGTCGAACCATAGGGTTTGGGGCATTGTGTCGTCGGGCGCCGCTGGCTGAACCACTGGTCGCCGAAAGATGTGATTGTGCGTAGGCGGGTGGCTGAAATACCTGACACCACTGTCACATGATGGCACGCACTATCGCAACCTGTGTCCGCAACATTGACCCGCTCGGGCACTGCCTTGAAAGGGAGGGGGTCCAGGGGCAGATAGGGCCAGATATAACCAGCCTCGAACGTATCCCTATCCCGAAGATGGGCGAGCAAAAAGCGAGGACAATCTTAGGGATAGGCCTTCAGAAACTGAGGGAATCCTTAAGATCGGCATCGAGGTGAGGTGATGTCAAACATAGGGATAGGGATATGTTTCAAACTGGTAAAGATAGTCAGTGACGTGAGCGCGAACGCATTGAAAGTAGAGGGGGAGGTTGAGACGAGGCGAGGAGGACGGAGAAGGACGAGGGTGTTTCTTGGCAGCCAGCCCAGGGCCGCACGGCGACGCCCGCGCGCCAGAGAGAAGCTCCTGGCAGGCCGAACCGCTGGGAGACACGAGGCAGCGCCTGGGCGCGCCAGCGGGAAGTGGGCGGCGCGGCCGAGAGCAAATTCGAAGAATGGCGCCGCGCGCTGCCCGCACCCGCAGGCCCACAGTAGGGGGCAAACAAACCTACCTCGCTTTTGACCACCCTCGCTTCCAAGAGATACCAAGCGATGCCAAACTACGGCCTGTACTGGTCATGCCGCTTGACGAGGAGGCGCGTGGTATGACTTGGTTTTGCCTGGAAGCGAAAGCGGGGTAGGTGATTCACGCTCTGACACAGGCCCTTCTCCCGCCGGCAGCACTGGCACGTAGCCGCGCGGACTCGGGCCCGTGGGCGCTGTCCCAAGCTGCGAGCTGAGGCCATCGCAGCAAATCGAAAAAACTTGCGGCTGACCAAAAGGCGCCGACGGCCCGTCAGGCTGCGGCACCCCTGATCCGTGCGAATCATCGTGCCCTCCGCGTTGGTTTGGGACACGGCGCGAGTCGGGCTGCCCTCTCCTGTGCGCTTCTCGCCAGGTGGCGAGTCAGGCCCGCACTGGCTCGGTGGTGGCGCGGTCTCCACTGCACCCCTGGCCGTCCCGCTCCAGATGCGGCTGTCCGGCAGCGGCTGGAGCGACTGGCCAGGAAACCGACGAGCATGCAGAGGGCGGACCACAGCAGGCAAAGCTCGAGGTGGCTCGAAATCCCTTCTGCGGGCGCGGCCTCACTCTGGCCTTGTGCACCCTGGGCTGGCGCTGCGAGGGTGACCCAACACAGGTGCGCCGACGCCCCACCCCCGCAGCGAGACCCGGTCGGGCGGTTCCACAGCGCCGGCCCTGGGATGTACGAGGGGCCTTTGAGCGCGGCATCCACGCCTCCTTCGGCCCAGGCCTCTCCCAGTTTCACGGCCGACGGGGCCAGCAGCGTGTGGCCCTTGGCCATGCCGCGGGCGAACCCTCGCTGGCGGCAGCGGTCCTCCCACAGGTACCCGTGGAAGGCGTCCGTGCTCCACCGTCCGAAGCGCTTGACCGCCTCCAGGTCTCGCACCGAATGGCAGAGCGCCGTGGCCCACAAGACGAGGCGGCCCAGACCAGCATCTCTTGCACTGCTACTCGACGCACGGGGACCTCCGTGCTCCAGTGGAAGAACGGCTGGGCGGCCTCGTCCCCAGGTGCGAACCTCTCCGGGTACTCGGCCTGCATCGCGGACAGCGCCTCCACGACGCACAGCACCTCTTCCGACCGGTAGTGGTTCCGATGGACTCCCTCCCCCACCTGTCGGTCTTGGACCTCGTCATGGCGAGCACCGCCTCGTCGCAACTGCCGAGCCAGGCCGTGTTCGCCCCGTGCCGCAGTCCCTGACGATCCATCCCGCGGACCAGCCGCTCGTAGCACCATGGGCGCTGGTCCTGGACCAAGTGCCCGGAGGCGCGCAGCAAGAAACGCGCCGTGGAGATGGCCGCCCAGGACACCAGGGCGTCCCTGCGCGGCATCCGCGGTCCAGCAGGTCACCCCGGAGCCAATTTTCCCAGCATCCGGAGAGTGGCGGGCAACTTGCGCCGAGACTTGCCGTCCCATTGCCGGAGCCCTCCCATGGCGATCCAAAGCCTCCACCGGTCCGCGGTCGCGCCTCCGTACCTGGCCAGGGTGCGGGCATGCCGAATGACGACGAGGCGCTGGTGTATCGTAGTGGCCCACCGACCCATCACATGGTGTATTACACCACGTACCAGAATCCTGAGGACAAGAAGGAGGGATGATGCGGACAGAGGAGCAAGAGGAGGTGGAGGAGAAGGATGAGCAGAACAAGGATAACCGGTGGGCTCACAGATCCTCGCCGCTCCATGCCGCTCGAGGGCTGGTATGTATGGGGTGACGCATGTACTCGTCCTCGTCCTGGTCCTCACCTGCAGCCTCCTATGTCTCCTCTCTCTCTCTCTCCTCCGCCACCTGATCCTCCCCTTCGTCGATGGAACGAGTCCTCGTCTCCTTCCTCCTTGGAGGCCTGGAAATTTGCACCAACACCAGCACAGGGGGGTGCCTCCACATGGGGAAGATGAGCCTAGATTTCGGTGTTGGTGGTAATATTTCGGTCGCCTTGGAAACCAGAATATTACCACCACCACCGAGATCGGGATCGTCTTCCCTCGGTGGAGGCACACCGCCGAAATTGGTGTTGGTGTCAACCTCTAGGCCTGCGATCCCCCCCCCCTCGTCCACCGCACCCTCCTCGCCGATGCCGCCGTGGTGCTCTCCTCGTCCTCGCGCTACCCCCGGCGGGGCACGGCGGGCGAAGGATGCTGGGCACGGGGCCCTGCGTGTGCTCTCCACCGTCGCCCCCTTCGCATCCTGCCTCCTCCTCCTCCTCCTCCTCCTCCTCCCTCCTCCTCCCTCCTCCTCGCCCTCCTCCCCCCCCTCCTCCTCCTCCTCCTCCTCCTCCGCCTCCTCCTCCGCCTCCTCCTCCTAGGCGCCGGCTGTCGCCGATGCACCACGCAGCCTCCACGGAGTTCGAAATCTTTGTTCCGTCGAAGCCGCCGATGGCATAAATCCGCCCTGGCGCGGCGGCAAGCTGGAAGGTAGTCGAAACGGGGCCTGAGAACTGATATAGAGCTCGCGCGTGCTCGAGTTTACCAGCGTGATTGGGCGACACATTTGCGACTTCTGTCTTTGCTAAAACATGCCGAGTTGGACGTTCAGAATTACTTGTGTGCCCCCCCCGGAGGCGTCCGAAGCCTCTGGGAGCTTTGCGGGGAGCACGGCAGCACTAACATATTGCACCCTCGCACCAGAAGATGTTAAATGGCTTTTGGCGATTATATCGAAAGCCACGATGGATTGGGGGCCGCGAGTACACCGAGCAATGAAAATATGAAGATCATCCAGCGGCGACACGGAAAAAGCATGGTCCTTAACAATCCGCCGATCCGGCGTGAGTTTCTGAGAGCATGGACTTGAGCTCGCTCAACCTTCGCTACGCATGGGGGGGACGTCTTTCCTACTACTTTCCCACTTGACAATGCAAAGGGGGGTCGCCCCGGCCCTGGCCCTGGCCCCGGTCGGTCTTGGCTCCGGCCCCAGCCCCGGGTCCCGGCCCACGGCCCCGGTCCCGGCCTTGGTCCCAGCCCTGGCCCACGTGGATAGGCGGCGCAACCGTCAGATAATCTGCGAGCATTATAGTGCTGCGAGAACTTAAACCAAGTTGCGAGAGTAGGTACATCTGAGATATAGCCGCCCTGATTATGTTAAGATATAGCAAGATCGCATCTTAATATATATATATATATATATATATACAATATCAATTTGTCATATGAACATATCGTAAGGATCTAGTACTATACATTTTGATAACAAACCGCAAGTGTGCACGCGCGGATGCCCATGCAGCTGAGAACAATTTCTGAGATTCCCAAGCTGTGTTTTTTGGGGGCGTGTGTCGCTGCACATGACAAACGCGTGTTTTGTTTGTTCCGTTTTGCGTCGCTTGGAGCCGACGAACCAAGTGCGGCAAATCAGCACCAAGCTCGCCCGTGGGACGACTTGCACTAAGCGCTTAAACTTTCAACGACACCAAAATGCTGCATCAAGCATCACATGCGCATGTCCGCAACGCGCAACCGTTGCAAACAGAAGCTTGCAAACCAAAAAAGCAAACGGCGCGCGAATGATGCACTCAACCTGCGAACATTCACGCCGCAAGCGAAAATTCTGGATTTCTAAATCAACGTGGCCGCGATGGTCCGCCACTGCGCCGCTGACATTTGTCACATTCTCTTGCGCCGCGCAACCGATGTCGTCGCCGCGGCGCAGGCAATGACTGCGCGCGGGCGCCCGCGCGTGCGCGACCGCCTGCGCGCGCACATGCAAAACTGGCCAAATAATCAGCACGCGCGTGGATCGCTCGCGCGCGTGGGCGCGCGCGCGCTTTGCGCGCCCATGTTGTCGCGAGCTGTCCGCCGCGAGTGCTGTCGCGAACTGCCCGCGCGACGCGCGCTGCTTTTGCAGCGCGACGTAGCGCGAACATTCCTTGACGCGCGTCGCGCGCCGTCCGCGTCGCGCGATCCTGCCGCTCCGAAGGCCGCGCCGACGCCCTCGCGGGCCGCTCGAAGGCGTCCGGGCGCATTGCTCGATGGGAAACCGCGCTGCGGAGGACATGCGCGGATGGGGGCGCGCCGAAGTGAAAGGGCATTCGCAATGCGCGCGCTGCCACCTGGACGTTTGGCGGAGCTCCCCAAGAAACAGCGGGCAATGCATGCGCGGTGTGGCGGGTGGGGGGGGGGTGGGGGGGAAATCGTAGAACTGGCGACGCCAGTTGTGCGTGTCCGACGTGCCCCGAGGGCATCGGCATCTCCCTTGGCATGTCCCCGCCCGCCCCGAGAAACTTGAACGTCGTCAATGTTTCAAGAGTCCCCCGCCCCGTCTGGAGGCACGCGTGGACGCGAGAAGGATGGCAGCGAGGGGCCCCCAAGTGTCCCATGAGAGAGCAGCAAACGCAAGGGACGGCGGAGGAGAGAAAGGAAACGGCATGCCAAATTGGCGGCCGCCCGCCGCCTGGCTCTGAGCTGGACGCTTTGGGCGAGCGGACAGCAGGCACCCCGCGCAGCCGCGGGCGCCAGGGAAGGCGCCGGTCAATCAGGCACCTTGGGGAACTGCGCTATACGCCGCGCTGCCAGCGCCGCGAATTCGGACACGCTGCCCCCTGCGCGGCGCACGTCGTGCAGCAGGAGCAGGGCCTGCACCCGCGCCGGCAGCCGCTCCCTCCACTCTGGGCATGCACTCCCGAGCATCTCTGCCGGCGTCGCAGCACTGGCGCCGCGCCAGAGACAGGTGACGTGGCCGGGCCCTTGCGCGAGGGCGCGCGGCCACCACGACCGCCCGGCGAAGAGGGCGGCGAGCATGGCGCCTGGGAGGACGGGCTCGTCTCCGCCGCAGCGCCGCGGCGGCGGCGCCCGCGGGGGCGCGCGCCCAGCAGGGGCGGCGGCGCCCGCTGGCGCGGA